ATGTATGCGTGTACCATACACATACACATTTACATTTTATTGTATTTATATGAAAACTTACTTGAAAATACATATACTTGTTACGCCAAAAAGCTTTTGAAAGTTTAGCGGAGTAGATGTGAAGAGTGTATAGAGAATCATTGACAGGAAATTGCATTTTTGAGTGGATAATTTTCTATGTGTGGCTCTTAAGTGTGCATATGCACATAGTTATATATATGTACATACATATAACGAAACACGTCTATGTATTGTATAAACGTACAAACCTATATATACATATGAAGAAACCCAGTTGCGCCGCAGGGAATTCGAATGAGCGCATCCGTGGTTTTATTGATGATAAAAGAAAAGATATAAAACGCAATTGTATTAGTATTTTTTTAATATTTATTGGCGTCAAATTATTTCAACTAAGAATATTTGCTTCTCGTGACAATGAGATTACCTGTGGTGAAGAGGCCTGGTAGCTGCGATGCTTCCGCTTTGATCTTCCAAAAAGAAGTGAAGTAAAGGATTTACCGAATTTTACTTTAGACCGCCGGACAGTTAGCTACCGCTTCAAGGGGAAACTTAACGAAAGTTCACTGTCCGGCGGGATATAATAGTTAACGGCCGGAATATTAGTGTTAGCGCGTATATGTATATGTATGTATTTGTGTCTACATATGCCTACATTAGGGCGGATCCCTAACGTGTCAGAATATTAGGGCTGGACATTATTTTGTGGGAATATTTAGACTGATGGTCTAAACACATATGTACATAAGTATGTATTCCAATATTCTGTGCAGTAATTCGCTATATGCGCTACGCATTTCTTCGTCTAAACGTATTTAAATATTCGGGTGTATGCAGAATGATTCCTTATGGTTTTTTTTTTTATACCGTATCTCCATTATTTTCCATAAGCTACATATCTTGTTTTCGATAATTGTGTAATGATGCGTTAAAGATGAGTGAGTGTTGGAGCATGAGCGATTAAAATATTCTAAGGGGGGGGAAATATTGTTAAGAGGATGTGATAAATAGCGCTTGTTAGAATACAATGAAATTCTGCTGCATTTAAAAAACATATTTAGATGGTGTTTTCCTAAGGAAGCTTGCTTTGTATTCCATTACTGCGTGAAGTTTTAGAGGAAATGTGGGAAATTAATATTTATTTTAGTGCTCCATCTGAATGTAAAGCAGTGGATCGTCACTTCTTTTCATATATATAATAATAATATTTATTTCTTAAATAGTATTCGAAAGGCGTTTTTATTTGTTTGAAAAATAAAATAAAAATCGAAAAAAATATATATAAGTATGCAAGTGTGCCGAACAGTGAAGAGGCTATTGTTGACAGGTCAATTCTACTATAAATATAGGAATAACTTTTAGGTCTCAAAATAAATATATATATGGGGCGTTCCACACCAAAACGGACGGGGTTCACACTTCATGTGTTTGATTTGTTTCAAATTTTTAGGGTTGATGCATAAACATAAATAATAAACACATATGAAATTTAAACTTGATTAATGCATTTTTAAAAACTTTACAGCACAAATACAAATCCATTTAATAGTTTTCCAAATATCTCGAAAAAGGGAGATGAAAAAAGTAAAAAAATCACACATATACACATCGAAATCCTCTACGAAAATAAATATTTAAAAAACTTTTTTTCTTAAGAAATTTTTTACACACAAATTTTTTGATAAATAAAATTACATATTTAAATTATCTAATACTCTTAATTCAAATTGAATTTAATTATAAAATCAGATGGCAACCCTCCTACATGCAGTTTAGAAATAAAGTTTTTTCAAAGCAGTTTTGATTTATATTTATATTAAAGTAGTTTATTGAACCTACTGCTCATATTGCATCTAACTTTGTAACAAGGTGACAACCCTGTGCAAAATATTTTCAAACCACAATCTCTTTCGACGGACATCCATATCAGATAAGAAAGAAAGCCTGTTCAGAACAATTTCGATTGTCACTTATAGTTTAATAATTGATTTAAATTAAAGATAGTTTGAATTCAGTTTTTATCAGGTGGCAACTCTTTTTGAAAAAACAAAAAAATAAAAATAAAATAAAAATATAACCTCGTATTATTATTATTTGATTTAAATAGTAATGCTTTTATTTAACTTACTTATCCACAAGACGAAGTGAAAATATAGTACTTACTTGCCATAGTTTATTTGGCATTTTTTATTTGCACGCTTGCAACTTCGCATGCGAATTACCATCAATACCGGTGGCACAAGCTCCTAACAGCAGAATATATGTATGTAGCTTGCATATGCGCTGCCACCACCGCTCTCTATCCGTCGTCTACAGCCACTTGCTTGCATTAAAATCAGTAACAAATCAGCTTTTCGCCACTAGTAAATCCGCCACTGAGTTTTCGACGAAGTTGCCGATGACTGCGTTGAAACCCATCAGCATCAAGTAATGCCGCGCGCTTAGAATGCAAAATGCCAAGCGTCTGATGGATGATGATGGTCACTACAACGCGCACACACACATACATAAGTATTTACAAACTTAAAGCTAGATCGTAGTTGCCACGAACGAAAGCAATCTAGTTTTTATTACGCCAACGTTGCAAATTGCAACATGCCACAAACCAAGTCAAGGCGAGAGCCACAGCCAGGCAGGCAGGCAGTCAAGTTTTGTCCCACAGCACCGCATTCGAAGAAGAATTAGAGAGGCATGTCAGTAAAATTGAATGCGGCGCCTGCCAAAAAC